GTTGCTGTTATCAAGTAAGTTCACTGTACCTTGTTCCTGCATGCTTTCGTGTTCGTTGCTGTTATCAAGTATGGTTATAGCTTTTTGTTCCAGAATGCTTTCATTTTTTCGCAACAAACATTCTTTTCCTTCAGATTCTTGGCGTGAGAGTCGTTCCATCTCTACAGATAAGATGTCATGCAGCTCTAAATGTGTCAAGATCATCTCAGCTGAAAGATCAAAGGAAGATGATTTTCACAAACTTTAACTATATACCTGTCTCTTATACACATCTAGATGTGTATAAGAGACAGACGGCCACTAGGCGGATTATGATGAATAATGGATTCTACATCGCGATAATTGAATAAATATATCTAGTATACCATATGCTACAGGAGTATCTCAATACTTGTTTCCTACGACTGAGCCAAACCCCAACCAACTTTATTTTCTCATACTTCTCATGCTATAAATAGCAAGTCAAAGATAAAAACCAAGAAGACAGAAGCCAAGTTTACAAATCAATTGCCAAGAAACTGTTGGACTTATCTGAATGAACTTTGTTGGGGAACCCACATGGAGAAAGTACGATTCAAAAAATCGAATCATGCAAAATAAAAGTTGTGTAGTTCACACCCGTCTGGATCACCCGTGGATTGTAAAGAATCATCTAACTGGAGAACGGAAGAGCAAGAGAAGTGAAGTATCCCACACATTAGCTAAAAGACATTGAAGAAGTGATGTTGGTGCTACCAGTTTACAGTCTGAAAGTAAGATGGCTTCAAGTAATAAGGACCTAAACAGAGAAAATATCCATCATTACCATTCTGGGGAAGTTGAAAGAAGATACGGTAAGTTGTGCTGGCTCCAGATAGAAATATCAGCATATGTCAAGTTTACAAATTAATCTCAAAGAACTGTTAGATTAATCTGGATGAACTGTGTTAGGGAACCAACATGGAGAATATACAACACAAAAATGAAATCTTTCCAAATGCAAGTTGTGTAATTCAGACCCGTATGATCACACATGTATCTTAGGAAATCATCTAACTGCAGGATGGAAGAGCAAGTGTATTATCCCAAAGCATTAGCTGAAGGACAAGAGTTTGAAGAAGTGATGTTAGTACAACCAGTTTCCAGTCTGAAAGTCAGATGCCTCCAAGTAATAAGGACCTCTGTAAATATATCTATCTATCCATCACTTACCAATTCTAGGAACGTTGAAAGATGAGTTAATGCTGGCTGCAGATTTAAACAGACTAGTAAGAGATGTTTATGAAAGTAGTTTACAGGCAACCAGCTGTAGCTTGCTTTACCTTAAGTATTACCTTCCAATCCCAGGGTCCTGGGTTCAATTCCTGTAGAACTTCTACTGCAACCAGTATAAAGATAAACTTAATGTTTATAATTTATTATACAAAGTTAGCCTAAACTAACATCAAAGTTCTCACTCCAAACATAAGGTGGTGCAAGTACAATCCAGACACAACCTATATGACCATCTAAACGCTCTATGAGGCATGTTGTGGCAAAATGGCTAAGTTGTAGCAAAAATTGGAATTATTGGTATTTTCAGATACCTGAGTATGTAATCTTTAAAATAAGGAGTTATTCATTGAAATGGGACATTTCAATCCTAAGTTATTGGAAAGTGAAAGTACAGCAATCTTAGAGTCAAGATAAACACGATTTTGAGTAATGGCCTTCCAAAGTTATTTGTGCATACATTGTTTAATAGAAATAACTATCAAAATAACGTTAAATAAACGATTTGTTGACCATTTGCAGAACTAATAATTTGGGACATGATTAATACAATTAAACTGTTGATCTACAGTGAAAAAAAACTTGGACTTTTAGACAATTTTTTGAACTCTCATATTTTAAAGCTAATTTACTCAATAATGGCCTGTGCGACAACTTAACAATTTCGCCACGACATGCCTCATTTAACTCAACTTCTAGTTTTTCCAAATGTGGCAAAAATGAGTGCAAATAACTTATCACTATAAATAGAAATGGCAAGGATAGAATACAACAAGACAGGAATGTGTGAAGTTTACAAATCAATCTCAAATTAATCAAAATACCAAAAATGGAATGTTGTCAAAGGTCAAGAGTTTGAAGAAGTGATGGCAGTGCTACCAGTTTACGGTCTGAAGTAAGATGCCTCCAAGTAACAAGGACCTTGGTAAACAGACAAAATATCCATCACTTACCAATTCTGGAAATGCTGGAAGATGACTTAATGCTAGCCCAAGAATTACTTGCCAAATACAGGTTTGTGCAATTCAAAGGTGTATAGATCACGCCTGTACCTTAAGAGATCACCTAATTTATAAATCAGTTGTTTCACAAATCACTTAAATCTAATTCATCTAGGCAGTCGTCAGTTGTGAATATTTGGGATGAGGCTGGAAAATGATTTTTTGGTTTTGGTTTGCTAAAGGATGTTGCATTTTGTTTCTTGTTTTGTGGGCCTTCAGAATTACATTTAGATGAGTTACTAAAACTGAATGCATTCAGTTTTCTCACAGTTTTCTCGCTAATTAACATGGCTTTGCTTTTCTTTTCTGCAGGCTGCATGTGTAGCATGCCCTCAGCGGTTCGTTTCTTCTTGCCGTTTGAATCATGTGACGTCTTATTACCAACATTATGGGCTGAATTTTTATCTTGACTTGTCAGACAATGTTGAGAATCAATTAAGACTGTATCATTAATCTGAGAAATGGTTTCGTCTTCATTACTTAATGTTGTTTCCGATGATGCTTTAATCTCATTAAAAACTTCTTGAGCAACGTTTGCAAGAAAATCATCTGTGTCATCAGTAGAGCAATCACATGCATCATTTTCGATGGAATCCTTTTGTGCATCATTTTCGGTGGAATCCTTTTGACCTTTACGTAATGAGTTTCCATTGGTAACAGCTACCAGAACGTCCTCTTTATTTCCATCTGTATCTATCAATCTTTTTTTGTGTTCTGCACTTCCAATAATGTCTGAACGATCATGCGAACTGCGTAAGGATTCATTAAATTCATTTTCTTCACTGGTATCAAATAAGTTTACCGTGTCTTGCTCCTGTATACTTTCATTAATGTTGCTGTTATCAAGTAAGTTCACTGTACCTTGTTCCGGCATGCTTTCGTGTTTGTTGCCGTTATCAAGTATGGTTATAGCTTTTTGTTCCAGAATGCTTTCATTTTTTCGCAACAAACTTTCTTTTCCTTCAGATTCTTGGCGTGAGAGTCGTTCCATCTCTACAGATAAGATGTCATGAAGCTCTAAATGTGTCAAGATCATCTCAGCTGAAAGATCAAAGGAAGATGATTTTCACAAACTTTAACTATATACACTACCAGTTAACCTCTATATTTAGTACTGTACTTTCTGGCAAGTAAATTTTAATGAACTTTTAAAACACAATTTTATATTTTTTATTTTCAATAAAGATATTTTCATAATTAGATTGTTTTAATTTCTCTATAATTGGTACAAAATTAAGTTAAAACACATTCTGGACACTAGAGGGTGCTGTTGCGATTATTATCTAAATATCTTTTGTTCATTAGCAGGTACAAGCAATCCAATCATGAATGCTTTTCCAAAGTGAACTTGATAATGTAATACTTCAGCACAAAACTCCATCCTAAAAATGTATAGCTATTCAATATTACTATAAAGTAGGAAACATGGATTCATTGATAAGAAAAAATTCAAATAATTACATGGTGAAAACTAGAAAAGCCATATATACTGGAGTGCGAATATATGCACTCTACAGCCCCGCTTCTTAAACTTTTTTAGGTGGTCACCCACTTTTAGACTCTTTGTTTTTTGGCGACCCAAAGCATATATTATCAAATAAATTCAACCTCGGCTAAGTCAAATACAACGTGGCTGGGATAATTTTTTTAAATAAAATTTATATTTACACAAAGATGTTTTGTTATCAACATCCATGTGCGAAATGTTCCATTTTATAGTATGGAGAATATTTTATATACCGTCAACTTGAGCAAGGTTGACTGGGTAAATAATAATTGTATTTTGTACGTCCCCAACCCTTGCAAAAAGGAGCAACTAATCATTTTTCACAATGTGTTACGAATGTGAACTATGTTCCTGCCTGATTTTAATGATCTTATCAATCACCGAAGAGATTGGCGACAGTGCAACCACGAGAGTAGATTCTAGGTTTTGGGTTGACAATGAATTTTAAGCTTTAGTCTTCATAGCTATGACCTGTGGGTGAATCTTTGAAGTTGAGTTCTATGTAGAAGTATTTTCTATGTTTTGAAATGTGCTTTACCAAAGTCATTTTTTTTTTTTAAGTCTGAAGGAGTCTCGAAACACTTGTAAATGTTTTGGCAACCCAAATTTGGGTGCCAAACCATAGTTTGAAAAGTAGGGCTCTAGAGGGTGCTACCAACATTGCTACAATTTTAATTAAATTTATTTTAAATTTTACAATTCAAATTAAAATTACTACAAAACTTACCCTGCACCTTGTATTCTTGTTCTGGGTCTTCTGGGAAGGATGTATGCAATGCATTGATTCCTCCCAGTAATGCAGCCCCATACATGCTCGACTCCATCACACTGACGGCCACGACTGCATCGCAAACTCGCACTTCATCTCGATACATAAGCCTGGCGTGAGCTTGTGACAAACGAACCATACTCTCCAGTAAACGTATCGTTGTACGTGCCGCATTTCGTTGATCTGCCTTGCGTTGAGCTTGGTAATATCTTGATAACACACTAACAAAACGTAAAAGTTTACATTATACACTTGCATTCATGAGGGCATATTTTTAATACCAACATACATAATCCTATAATTATCAATCAGATACAACCATGTTGTTATACCAACATTTCAACAAGCTGGGGAACAATTAATGAGGTACAGATTCTTGAATATTTAAAATCTGGGGGAAAAGGGACTTAACCACCCATTATTCCACCCTTCCTCTCCCCCCCCCCCTCTTTTTAAACATTCAAAAAAGTGCTCAAGATGCTGGAGATGGAGCATGAAAAAACCGTAACTTGAAGCATGGAAATTATCCCATGAAATGTTCAACAACCAGGAAAAAATAAGCAGAAAAACCAACTTCACCACTTTGTTTACCCTCAATGAGGGCTCGCTAGTTCACAACTCAAGTCCAAGTGAAAAATTAAACTCACAATACATATTTACATATCTTACATCTTTTCTGCAATATTGTTTTAAGTCTAACAGATTTTTTCATATTGACTTCTGAAATAATTCTACTCACATTGTTGCATCTTCTGTCATAGTAGGCTCCACAGATGTTACCAATGTAAAATATGCCTGCATCTTCTCTAAGCTCCAAAGTTGATCAGAGGTATCATCTGAGGTAACATGAGAATAAATTTTTAAATAGTTATTATATTATTATAAGTAAGCATTGAATCCTTGCAGAGCCTCAGGGCCCAAATGGGCTGGTTCATCCCCAGTTCAAGTACTGTGAAGGGGATGAGAGCATGTTCCCCCTGGGTGGGAGGCTGGTTCACAGATTACTTCCAGTAATTTACTGGTACCTATTGATACAGCTGCGTAAACTGAAGCAATGCAGATAAAGTGCCTTGCACAATGACACAAGAAAACATTGAGATCATCATCATTATTAGTAACCTGCATTACTGCAAGTCTGAATATGATTATGTTATTCAGTTTTTCCACTGATCTCTTTGTCATGCTTTTTTTTAAATATTTACATATCTTCACACATTAAATAGATCCATAAACATCTTTCCTGTTCATCACATGACCAATCCAATTTTTTTCCCCTGTTCAATCATATTAAATATGAGCATCTCCCTCTAATTAAAGACCACTGTTCTGCGGTCCAATATATAAATAAATGTCTTTTGTCTGTATTATTTTAGTTACAGACCAAAGCTGCTAATGATCCTGGAAACCCTATGCCAAAAACTGGTCTTTAATTGGAGGGAGACCTGTATTTGTTTATTACACTCGTCTCTCAAGAACTACTGGACCGATTTATTACTTAAATTTTTTTAGCAATTTACAATGTTACATGTATCTTGGTCCTCCTCAAATTTGGTGTTGATCAGAAGATACAGGTTTGAGAATTATATGATGCTATGGCCTTGGTTGGTTAGACCGAGCTGACTTGAGCGGACTAACCACAGATCACAATACAGGGTGTGTTAAACACAAGAAACTGAATCGCTGAAAACGATGGCTACAAAACATGAAGCATTTTTTTTTAAATATCAAAGTTATAAATATTATGATTAAAATACAATTACAGATAAAAAAAAATGTTTATAAATAAAAATAAACACTGCTTTCCAGATGATGATTTATCATATTCAATAATAAAAAATTTACCTTTGGATCCAGGAATCTTGTCTTGTAAAATAAAAGATGAAATAATCTTATCCCATTCCTCATTTTGGTTGTCTAATAATACTAGCACCATATCAAACCTGCTCAGCAATGGACTTGCGAGGGCAATATTTACACTCAAGTCTTCAGATGGATCATACTTTCCTTTGGGGTTTGTTGCTGCTAAGACTTTGGTTCGAGCATTTAATTTGCAGACAAGACCAGCCTGGTTAAAAGAAAAATATATGATGAACATGGAAATAGCAATGAATAGTTAAGTACTTTTTTACATTAAAGTATTGAACTTTGTATTACTGATGGTTGAATACTTAACAAAACACTGATGATTTTGTTACCTTAGCAACACTGATGGTCTGTTGTTCCATTGCTTCGTGTATGCTGGCACGATCATGCTCACGGATGCTATTAAATTCATCTATGAGAAAATCAAAGAGTAGAAAAGATAAATTCAGAATCACAAAGTTACATGCAGTAAAAATGCCAGGTCCAGAAGTCAAGCGATTTTCTGGGACTAAAGGAGGGTGGGGGGAGGGGTAAAGGTGTTTGCCTGGGCTTTGTGTCAAATCAGGATCCAGACAAACACCTTATTTTCTCTATGATCTAAAACCACTTTAATTTTAAGCTTGAGACTAAGTTTATACATGATCAAGTTACTCGCTTTTGGATAGCAAGTAAAATATAACAAAAAAAATCATACAATTTTTAAATATTTATCTATCGACCACTTTTGTATTACCTATACAGCAGATTCCGCCATCAGCTAGAACCAGTGCCCCTGCTTCTAACTGCCATTCCCCGGAATCTTTGACAGCAGTGACGGTCAAGCCGGCGTTAGTTGACCCAATTCCTGTGGTCAGTACTGATCTTGGAATCACCTTTGCAGCATATTTTAAAAACTGTGACTTGCCTGTGCCTTAAAAAAACAAACAAGATATCTGTTAAATTCTTGTTATGACTCACCACACTTTCGTACATGATGATAGCCTACAAACTTCAGTTCATTGATTAATTCGCTAAAAAAGCACCCCAAATTAATATTAATAGTTGCCTGTTGTTTAAATTCAGATTGAAATCCTACAATGAATAAAATTTGTTCTAATTTATAGAGTACAACAGAGTTCAGTGTCATTCTTCCTCCCCCCTCCCCCCTTCCATAGCAACCTATAACCTCAAGCTCTGAGTGATTAGTGTAAATGGAACCATGAAGGAATGCATCCAAATGATATCTGAACGTTAATAGATAAAATTAGTTAACTTGAGCCTACCTGGATCACCAACAAGGAGGAGATGACATTCGCCTCTTGTTCGGGTTCCTGATTGGTCCACTTTCTGTACACCCCCAATCATCACCATAGCGACTGCTAATTTTACGACATACAAGCCATAAATTTGAGGACAGACGCTGGATAAAACAACATTACGGGCCTGAAATATGATTAAAAATATTCAACAAGGTAAAATATATATTGTGTATATATTTTCATTTATTTTAATCAAAAATTCTCCTACAGACCACAAAATTAAAACTTAACAAAGCCAACAGGAGTAAGTTTGCCATGTGAATGAAAGCTTTCAGTAGAAATAAAGTTAAAAATAAGTTTCAAGCTCTGTCCACGCTATCCAATTTTATGTGACAAATTTGTGTGATGTGCCCATATATGGGCATGATGATGTCATATTACACCCAAATATGGGCATATTAGTTTTTTGTCACATAAAATTTAATAGTGTAGAGAATAAATTTTTAAATAGTTATTATATTATTATAAGTAAGCAGTGAATCCTTGCAGAGCCACAGGGCCCAAATGGGCTGGTTCATCCCCAGTTCAAGTACTGTGAAGCGGATGAGAGCATGCTCCCCCTGGGTGGGAGGCTGGTCCACCGATTACTCCCAGTAATTTACTGGTACCCATTGATACAGCTGCGTAAACTGAAGCAAAGCAGATAAAGTGCCTTGCACAATGACACAAGGAAACATTGAGATCATCATCATTATTAGTAACCTGTATTACTGCAGGTCTGAATATGATTATGTTATTCAGTTCTTCCACTTATCTCTTTGTCATGCTTTTTTTTAAATATTTACATATCTTCACACATTAAATAGATCCATAAACATCTTTCCCGTTCATCACATGACCAATCCAATTTTTTTCCCCTGTTCAATCATATTAAATATGAGCATCTCCCTCTAATTAAAGACCACTGTTCTGCGGTCCAATATATAAATAAATGTCTTTTGTCTGTATTATTTTAGTTACAGACCAAAGCTGCTAATGATCCTGGAAACCCTATGCCAAAAACTGGTCTTTAATTGGAGGGAGACCTGTATTTGTTTATTACACTCGTCTCTCAAGAACTACTGGACCGATTTATTACTTAAATTTTTTTAGCAATTTACAATGTTACATGTATCTTGGTCCTCCTCAAATTTGGTGTTGATCAGAAGATACAGGTTTGAGAATTATATGATGCTATGGCCTTGGTTGGTTAGACCGAGCTGACTTGAGCGGACTAACCACAGATCACAATACAGGGTGTGTTAAACACAAGAAACTGAATCGCTGAAAACGATGGCTACAAAACATGAAGCATTTTTTTTTAAATATCAAAGTTATAAATATTATGATTAAAATACAATTACAGATAAAAAAAAATGTTTATAAATAAAAATAAACACTGCTTTCCAGATGATGATTTATCATATTCAATAATAAAAAATTTACCTTTGGATCCAGGAATCTTGTCTTGTAAAATAAAAGATGAAATAATCTTATCCCATTCCTCATTTTGGTTGTCTAATAATACTAGCACCATATCAAACCTGCTCAGCAATGGACTTGCGAGGGCAATATTTACACTCAAGTCTTCAGATGGATCATACTTTCCTTTGGGGTTTGTTGCTGCTAAGACTTTGGTTCGAGCATTTAATTTGCAGACAAGACCAGCCTGGTTAAAAGAAAAATATATAATGAACATGGAAATAGCAATGAATAGTTAAGTACTTTTTTACATTAAAGTATTGAACTTTGTATTACTGATGGTTGAATACTTAACACAACACTGATGATTTTGTTACCTTAGCAACACTGATGGTCTGTTGTTCCATTGCTTCGTGTATGCTGGCACGATCATGCTCACGGATGCTATTAAATTCATCTATGAGAAAATCAAAGAGTAGAAAAGATAAATTCAGAATCACAAAGTTACATGCAGTAAAAATGCCAGGTCCAGAAGTCAAGCGATTTTCTGGGACTAAAGGAGGGTGGGGGGAGGGGTAAAGGTGTTTGCCTGGGCTTTGTGTCAAATCAGGATCCAGACAAACACCTTATTTTCTCTATGATCTAAAACCACTTTACTTTTTAAGCTTGTGACTAAGTTTATACATGATCAAGTTACTCGCTGTCGGATAACAACTAAAATATAAAAAAAAAAAATCATACAATTTTTAAATATTTATCTATCGATCACTTTTTTATTACCTATACAGCAGATTCCGCCATCAGCTAGAACCAGTGCCCCTGCTTCTAACTGCCATTCCCCGGAATCTTTGACAGCAGTGACGGTCAAGCCGGCGTTAGTTGACCCAATTCCTGTGGTCAGTACTGATCTTGGAATCACCTTTGCAGCATATTTTAAAAACTGTGACTTGCCTGTGCCTTAAAAAAACAAACAAGATATCTGTTAAATTCTTATCCGACAGTAAATGACTCACCAAACTTTCGTACATGTTGATAGTCTACAAACTTCAGTTCATTGATTAATTCCCTAAAAAAACACCCCAAATTAATATTAATAGTTGCCTGTTGTTTAAATTCAGGTTGAAATCCTACAATGAATAAAATTTGTTCTAATACAAAACGATATAAGGATTATAATGTTAAAACTGTAAGGTTTCGTAACAGCCCTTTGCGGTCAGCCAGCCTCTTTATATTTCTTTATTTTTCTTGTTGACGGAGTTCACTAAATGGTGATATTTAATTTATAATAGTTTTTTTTGTTAAATTTTATTGGCATTTTTTTTGTTGTTCCTGTGTACAGTAATGTTATTTTAACCCAGTAGCCTCCAATTCAATCTCTATTGCCAAAGGTTACTGTTGTCGAATGTTCTTTGTTAATGAATGAATAATTTTATAATGAATAATGTTGTATATAGAATTGTAATTTTTAAATGATTTTGTAATGAGTAATTTCTATAATGAATAATCTTATATATAGATTTGTACATTTGAATGTAATTCTTTTTAAGTAATTTTGTAATGAATTTATTTTGTTGTATGTCTGATTGAATAAATATATACCTGAAATATAATAGATAAAATTAGTTAACTTGAGCCTACCTGGATCACCAACAAGGAGGAGATGACATTCGCCTCTTGTTCGGGTTCCTGATTGGTCCACTTTCTGTACACCCCCAATCATCACCATAGCGACTGCTAATTTTACGACATACAAGCCATAAATTTGAGGACAGACGCTGGATAAAACAACATTTCGGGCCTGAAATATGATTAAAAATGTTCAACAAGGTAAAATATATATTGTGTATATATTTTCATTTATTTTAATCAAAAATTCTCCTACAGACCACAAAATCAAAACTTAACAAAGCCAACAGGAGTAAGTTTGCCATGTGAATGAAAGCTTTCAGTAGAAATAAAGTTAAAAATAAGTTTCAAGCTCTGTCCACACTATCCAATTTTATGTGACAAATTTGTGTGATGTGCCCATATATGGGCATGATGATGTCACATTACACCCAAATATGGGCATATCAGTTTTTTGTCACATAAAATTTGATAGTGTAGACAGAGCTTAACACGTTGGCTGCCAGCGACGAGTATACTCGCTCACAGGGTGTTGCTGAGGGTGCCAGGAACGAGTATACTCATCAAATCGAGGGAAACATTCTAGCGTTTATAACTTCTTTATTATACATTGTAGAACCACAGACTCAACGGCTGGTAGTTCGGGGAAGATACACCTAGACGATAACGTACAAATGACATATTATGTATATTGGTTGTGTTATGTTGCCGGTAGTACACTCGAGCGGTACAAGTGGGGGCGCCCTTTGAACATATACCAACCCATGCAAAAAGCGGACAAGATAACTCGCACTTGGCAGTCAGTAAAAAGTTCTATCACAGTGCCATCGACGAGTGTACTTGCCCCCCCTAATATTTTCCCGCCAATTTATTAGACACTTAATTTTGATGACATATGACTAGATAAAATTTCAAAAAAGTATGTTTGTACATGTAAACTTGTTTTGGCACACGGGAAGGAACCTTAAAAAAAGGTCTGGCAGTCAACGTGTTAAAGGACTTTACACCTTGTCTTGGATAAAATATTAATGTAATTCTTACTGTGAATGGTGCATATTTGTGGCTTTCCCAAAAATCTTCAAATTCTTTTTTCTGTGATAAAAACATTATATGAACAAAGACATTATAAAAGAAAGTCTACATAGGTTAATACTTTCCATCTTACAGCATATCTAATTCCATTCTCTATAGTTTGTATTTAACCACATTACAACAAGGACTAACAAAAATAAAATATAAGATTTATAGTGCCCTCTTTATTAAGTTAATAGTTAGATTTAATGTATCCAAGTAGACTCACTAATTCATTGGTAACAGACTGTGCCCCATGTTGTTCATTATTCACTTGAATATTGTTTGCCTTTACTACCAGCTCAATTTCACACTTGTTGTTAATACCAAGATGGTTCCACCTCCTCATAATAATACCACTGAAATTAAAGTAGAATGTTGTATAAAACAAAAAAAGATTAAGTTAGTCTTATATAGAGCATTAAAACAAGGCTTAATATTTTTAGTCTTGTCATTGGAATAAAGAGTTTTCAAAAATACTTTTCTCCTTGGTAACAATAACAAAAATATTTAAATTATACAAAACATTTTCTCAGTGATGATCGCAATAGCACAGAACACAAAATCACTTGAGATCACATCAATGTTTTAGGTAAAGAAGACAAATATTCGAAAAGAGGAATACAGCAGGCTATTAAAATTAAATTAGATGTTGCTACGTTGAGAAAATTTTACATATACCACAGATTTACGATTCCCTGTTAATAATCGTTCAAACTATCTAACAAAAAATAGCGACGACTACTTTGACTGCTTGTGAAGCAACAACATAAGTCAAAACTTTTTTTATACCTTGTTTGGTGAACCTGTTGCACACCAATGATATTTTCGAATAAAAATACAATTTTATATTTGTCCAATTAGTGCATCCACCGCCATGAAAAAATGGAAATTTCAGACAAAAATAAAATATTTTCTCTATTGTTATGCCCACTGCTGTCTTGAAATTTCCAAACACAAGATATGTATATTTCTTCATAATTACAGTCGAATCCAAAATGACACTAAAAAAATTGTTCGACTTAGATAATATTCGACTTGCAGATTGTTAATTAATGGAAAACACAACAACTTGGCATTTAAAATAAGTTCGAATTAGAAATTATTTGAGTCAGGCAAAGTCGACCTAAGCAAGTTTAACTGTATATAAATTTAAAGCATTTAACCATCCCAATACTACACTGTTTAAACAGTCACAAATATAATTTCATTTTATTTTCTCCTCCATCTAAATGTTTTTGGCGAAACTATTTGCTAAATAAGAAAACAAAATTTTATTTTTATTTTTGCCCTCCTTTGTCGATCTTTAAAAGTTTGTGAAACAAGGTATAAAGAAAGTCTTGTCTAATAATAAACGTTTCTAATATACAATGCAATATGACAAGCCTATGCTCTCCACATGGTACTTTGATTAGTTACCTGACAGTGACATCATCACCTGCCTTACAAGTGTCAACTAAATCATCTTCCAGTACGACCCACATTGACCTTGGTATCTAATCTTCAGTTAAGCAGTCATATTTTAAAAAATGATAATTTCAAAATATACAGTATCAATATTTTTTTCCACTTACCTTATCTATTGTTTAAATAGTAATACAATATTTGTTTAAATAATAATAATTATTAATAAAATACTGTAATAATAATAAGTATAATCATAATAACAGCAGCAGCTAAACCATCATGAACAACAATAGCAATAATAAATAAATATATAATATATAATAACAAAAATAATATTTAAATTTGTTATACAATTTATTAAAGGATTCTGTTCCCACTGCCAACTTCTGAACTTGTTCTTGAATCTTGATTTCTTGGTAGTCACGGCAACGAGTTGGGCCGGTGCTAGAGTCGTTGAGACAGGTGAATTGCATTGACCCACACCCCTCTTCAAATGGACATCCCTCAGGTTTACAATCACGATAAAACTGTTCAAAATCAGCCTGGGTAAAAAAAAATATCTCTTCTTATTCTCTTCTATTTTTCATGGTTTTATAAAACAAACACTCTACCTATATAACACTGAAGGAGTGCTTTTCAGATCAACTTTAATATCATACAATCTAGAAGATCCGCTATTGTCTATATTTTTGAACAGATTATTTATATTTGTTCAGATTATTATTAGGCTATTAGATCTCAAATTCATACAACTGCCTAATATATTACACGGAGCAATTTCAGGAAACAACTTTTAATTTGATCTCAACACAAGGGAATATTTCATTATCATCATTTCAGCCACCGTCGGCTCACTGCAGGGCGAAGGCCTCCCCAAGCTAAAACCATGAATGATTTGGCCTGTTCATTACATCATTGCGTTTTGTTCTATGTAAGTCTTATACTCGGAGGCATGTTTTTGACTTATTGTGGAGAGTTCCTTACAGCACTTCGTAACTGAAAAGAAAGGCGCTATACAAGTAACAAAGTAAATAAGAAAGTACATAAACAAGTTCTCGTAATCTCGAAAGATCCGATGAAGGGCACTATAATAGAGGCAGTAAATTATATTGGCCCTAACGGCCGCCCCTACAAAAAACATCTATTAATCAATCAGTGCTCAGCTTGCCCTCATGGGAGCTCAAAAAAAGATATATTAATCAATCATCTGAGTGTTTCTAGAGCTCCTCATCGGAACTCAAAATTACCTGAACTGTGAAAACAGTCCTGCAACGAGAGCACATGAAATCTTTCTCAAATTCTAGGAGTTTAATTGCACCACCACGGATGACAGTACCTGGAAAGGAAGAAATTGCATTGTACGTTTAGATATAATTATGATCATATCACTCAGTGGTGTATTGGCAAGTCATCAAAATGGGAGGGGTGCTGATGGGGCAATGGTGATGGTGGTAAGGGTGATTTTCATAAAGATTGTAAAGACAATGATAATGATGATAACAATGACAAGTGATGATGACTGTGAAGATGTCTGATGATGATGAAGTTAATAATGTGGATAAAGATTGATGTTATTATTAACTTTACCTGAAATTGAAACAAATTTGCCGATGTCACAATTCTTTGGCAAGATGATCCTCATCAGTTCAGGACAGACAGGTAGGCTTGTCATCCTTGCATGCAGATTCATCTTCAATATCTGAGAAGGAAAAAGAATCCCATAATAGTTGATGTCATCTAACTTTCAATTACATATTCTGCTTCAAGAATAAGAACTAAGCAAAATTCAGGTCCCCCTCTGATTAAAGACCTCTCCAATTAAAGGCCACTTTTCTGTGGTCCCACATTATTATTTTATTATTCTAATTAGAGACCAAAACTGATAAAGACCATGGAAACTCTGGTCCCAAAAGTGGTCTTTAATTGGAGGGAGACCTGTATGTGTTTGTCACATGAAGTTACGTGCTATTGTATTTTATGCCATTGTTCACATCTACAGGTGCCACACACCACTGATATGTAAATTACTCGCATTCAAGTGACCTCAGCAAAAAAAAAAAATACCATTCTGTCTTTGATTGGGCTATTCTTGAATATGTTCCTGGCAACAGTCTTCAATGCACTGTCAATGACTGGTAATCCCTGAAGTGGGTTTTGAAGGATCAACTCACTCAATCGCATATTATTTTCAAATAAAGTCATAGCACTGGAAAATAATTAAACAAATTTGAAATGTTTAAGCACAGAAAGACAGATATATTTTTTGTGTAGATCTAAACTTAATAAATTAAATTTTATGTTTGAATTGCTAAATTGTATCTGTATCTCAGACTGCAGAATAGAGCCTGGGCAGAGAATCCATGTGAAAAATTAAGTTATCTGAAAATAAAGGCAGATTTCCATTCAATTTTTGCAGAAATTTGTTCATGACCTACTTCTCAATATAAACCAGTGTATTAACATAGTAGTTTACAATTCTTTGTCCCTATTTTCCTAGTGATATTCTTAAGATTTGTGAAAGTTTTTTATGTACTGTATCCCCAATAATAAAATACCACCCATAATAAAATACTTAAAAGTGTGGTTTGTTTCTTGGAAGTAGTCTAGTATAAAAAATAAATGCTGGATTATTATTTTTATATAAATACATACTCAATATATACAGGAAAATGGTCATTTTCTTCATCAAGAGATAGAATCTCTATCAACTCTTGTTCATGCTGTGTTTTGATGTACGTTTCAAGCATACCTGGAGAAAAACATAAAATATTCATATACTCAATGGCAGCCTAGACATAAGGTATGGGATAATTTAAGGCCCTATAAAAAATATTATTAGTTTATCACCCTATCTGGGCAGGAAAAGTGATGAGGGAGGGAGGGAGGTTTTCTTTTTATTTTTTATTTTGCTAAAGCCAAATATCACCTTTGGGTTGTTTGCTGGTGCATTGATATTCAAAGTAAAACATGATTTAGATAATGCAAACAATATATACTAACTATTTAATAAAATAAATGAAAAAAAGAAATGAAAAAAATGTAAAAAAAAAATATTTTTCCAGTACCATAAAAGACATGCGTGCGAGGGTGATAAACTAATAATTTTTTTTACTGGGCCTAATATGGCTAAAAATGTCAGCATTTTTCTAATATAAGCCGTGATACCAGTAATAATCACATTGGAGGCATGGACATACAAAAGTAGTTATGCAATAAACTGCTGGCTAGAACTCAGCTACAAACTTCAAAGCCGGTTTCCCACTAGGCGAATTTATTCGTGAGAATCGAAAGCGTCGTTCATGCGCATTCACACTTCTATTGGAGTTTTCACGTCGGTGAAATTGGTAGTTTAAACAGTTTCTACTTTTTGCGAAGCGAAAAAATGCGCAGCCACTCAGCTCAGGAACCGAACCGACGCCTTCAACTCGGGCGAATAAATTCGCCTAGACTTGGAAAACCGTCTTTAAAATTCGGAATATTTTACCAGATAGGTTCGCATCTTCATCTTTTTCGATATTCATATTATTGAAGCTAGAAAATAAAAATAAAACAGTGTTTAACTTAATATACTGTAGGTCTACAATGAAAGGCCTAGCCTAAGCCTATATAGAATCAAGGAGTCGTTAAAGAATCGGGGAAAGCTAGCCTTAGCTCCACCCGCTTGCGGACATCAACACTGCAGGTTGCCAGGTCTAGGACTAGCCCTAGCCTCTGAGGCTAGCTAGGTCAGTAACTAACTTCCTAGCCTAAACATTAGAACTAGGCTATTTGGAGTTTAATTTATCTCGGTTTCTTGCTTATATGAACCATAACCATCAATCAAACCTACAGGAAAATAATAAAGTAAGCACAGCTTTCTACAAGGCCCAGGCTAGGCCTAGCCTATCCCCACATGTTTTGTTCATCAAAATTTCGCGCGGTAAGTGGCTACATATTGTAATCAAAAGTGGTCTCAGAACAAATGTGATTTGATTGAGAAATAGAGGCAAATTGATTTTTTTTGTCAGTAAAGTTATACAAAGAAATACAAAACTAATACTGATGTTGATCAATAATATCATAAAACTAATATAATGTAGAAATCAATCATTAAACGTTGACAACACTAGAGTAAATCCACTTGCTCTATTGTTTCAACCAGCACCCTGTCACGGTCAGGTGATTACGCACGTATCAGGTGGTACACACAACTCAACTCTAGGACCATGATAGATAAATACACAAATTCTAAAGTACTTATATAACACATTACGATTGTTTAATTGGTTAGCTGTACTAGTAAAATATTAAAATTGTGTTTAGGCAAAGTAAATTTAATCAGGGCCTATCCTTCTGCTTTAGTTAGGCCCGATAAAATCAGTAAGATTAAGAACAGCTTTACCTTTAGTTTACTGCCTGGCTGGGCCATCTGGGTCCTGGGTGGACCCTGTTGAGTGAGCTTTGGTTCTGGTGTATACTGCATAAAACTTCTTAGTAGAATAGCTGGCTGGCATAGGTTGTAGGCCTAGGTATGAAATGATTCAATAGTTAACGTGACGCACTGTGATTGTTATTATTGTATACAGATATTTGATTTGAATTCTATTTTAATTTTAATTAAAAATGTTCAATTGGTGGAGGTGCGCAGTTCCTGCAAGGGGGGCCAGGCATCCTCTCCCCCAGCTGGCATCATTTTTCCAACTGTCTTCTAGTTATGTATGTAAAATCTTATGTCATCGAGAATCTGTGAAAAAATAATTACAAACAATAAAGTTATGATGAAAGGTAGGAGAATAACCCATAACTTGCAGCGTCATTGTGCTGAATTGTGTATGGGCGTGGTCCGTGACTACCTAGCAGCCGTAAATAGGCGATTCTTGGTAGATACATGTTCACATCATTCCACGACGACAGGGGCTGAAATGAACCATAACATCGGGGAACCCCCTACTCTTCCGAAAGATGCAATGGGTTCTTTAAAGTGCACACGAGCCAGATGTATACACTGGACCTCCATTTTAAGTCCTTATCCGAGAAGACTTGGTTCTGCCAATCGAACCATGGGCGAGGAACTGCTGGAACCAGCGCCGATGTTAAAGCTGTAGCTAGCGGCGCCCCTACCTTACTGCGCAGCCACTCGAATCGCCACTGATGAATGACGCAGATTGGAAAACAAGGTCACAAAATGTTCATAACGCCAGTATATTCAAAGTTCCTCTATAATTAAATATTTTTAAAATCCATGCAGAGGAGAAAATAAAAAAAGTTTTATCGATGAATGTAAACAATGTAGTATGAGATTTATAAATGCTTTAAATTTGTGTAATTTTACGATGAAATATATATATCTTAGTTTTTTAGATTTCAGGGGAATGTAATAAACAAACAATTTTTTCTGAAATTTCCATTTTTTCTTGGCAGATGGTGCGCTAACTGCCCAAAATAAAAATTTTATTTTCATTGGAAAGCAATATTATTGGAAGTCGAAGGGTTACATATAACCTCGCCTAACCATTAACAAAAAAAAAAAAAGCCCTTTAAAATATTTAATACATACAATGGAAGGTAGATACAATAGCAAATGCATGAAACAAATGCAATTAATATAAATTTTATTGTTAAAGTTTATTAACTCATTATAAGCAGAAGTAAATATTTTTAATATCATGAGACATTAAAATTGTGTTTTTATGTTTTTCTTCAATAGATGGCAACCTCATCATCCATGGATCTAGAAATTGACTGCATTATCAAGCTTGGTGGCAGTGCTGTTACGTTTAAGGAGAAGTTTGAAACACCGAATATGGAAGCTATTAGACAAGCAGCCATCTTGATTGCTAAGATCAAGAAGAAGTGTATCATTGTGCATGGTGCTGGGTGGGTATTCAAAGTCTTTTCTAATAATAGTTATTATCTTTATTATACAGTACAGTACTTCCATTATTGTCTTGAGGGTATGCTGTAGGTTTGCCCATCAAACAAAGCCTTCTTGTTGGTATTCAGACACAGGGTGTAGGTATGCATTCTATGGAGTGACTGCTCTAGTTATTTATTTATTTATTTTTTTATTGTTAATAATTTTTCCGTTCGATACTTCAAGCCTGTGTACAGTATATGAAATGCTGTAATAAACTGCCTTCCAATTTGGAATCACAACAAAGCCCCATTGGCCTGTTTTAATCCTGGTTGGTGTGATTCTCTTTAACTTTATCATTATAATCTTCAAACTCCTTGAGAACAAGCGCTGTTCAATCCCCCACCCTTCAAGCGAATAAAAAGAACTGCCACCTATCATATTAAAGTTTACCGCAAAACCAAGTAACGGTTTTTTAAAGGCGTCTGCATATACAGCCAAAGGCACAAGTTTAAATCCTGTAGAGATGATTTTTCACTTTTCAAAAATTGGCATTTCTCAGTTGTTTATTTCACTTTTAACTATAAATAATGGTTGCCTTAGTGGTGGATCCAAGGGGGCCCCTGCTGGCCCGGGCCCCTCCATCTGTCAAAGTTCCTCCCCGGGCCCCCTCTATTTTAAATTCCGGGATCCGCCACTTGATGCATTCATACAGCCAGTTGAGTCCCCAGAATCAAATTATTAAATTTAATGGTAATGTTTGTCAAATTGTATAGCGCATTATACTACAGTAGGTCTCTCCTTTCAACAAATAACCAATAGAATTTGAATTAAAGAAAAAATAAGATCATGAAGAAGAGGAGACGAAAACAGAAACAAAACAATTTCTTTTATTCAAATTGTGTTACATATTTCATACAACTTTATATAGGTCATTTGGTCACTTTCAAGCAAAAGAGTATGGTGTAGCAAAAGGGTGGAATGGTCAGGCAGACATTGACCTTGTCCGTAAAGGTTTTGCTATAACAAGAGTCTCGGTTCTTAAGGTAATTTTTTTTAAATTTTAGTATTCTGTCATATCATGTTGATTATTTAATTATTTATATTTATGCTTTCTTTAACAAGGGGGTATCTATTCAGTGAATAGCACTGCTTTCCAAGGAAGTCATGGTACATACAGTAAATATAACAAAAAAAAGTTTACAATCATGAAATTAAAAGTAACTAAAAGTAAATCAAAAACAATGAAAAGATAGCCTAAAACTGAAACGAAAGCAAACAAATGGAAACTACCAAACCAAAATATAATACACAAGTTAAGTTAAACAAAAGGGAAGGTACAGTATTACTGAATACAAACAAGTTATATCGTCATTGGGGACTTATAAAATCTGCATACGCCTTAAAACTAAAAGAAAATGCATACTTTTGGAGTCCGTACTGAGCCCAAAAAATCCGCAATGAAAATATAACGTGTTTACAGATAATGGCCTCTTTTTTATACATACTATTAGAAAAAGAATCAAAATTGTTACGAATGTTGTGAGAAAGATTGTTCTGAAGATGAGCGGCTCTGGTATGAAATGTACGCTCACCACTGATTGAATTTGCATATGGAACAACCAGATTATTTGATATTTGATTCCTAGTAGGGTAAGAATGAACAGAGTGTGTGAAGGTGAATTTAGAAGATAGATATTCAGGGGCATTACCATTTAAACATTTTAAACACTGTAAGATCATTTAGTTTAAGCCAATGAAGAGTAAATCATCATATCCTGATGGTACTCTCTCTTCCTCTAGTTTGATTTATTTTCTTCATTTTCATATTTTCATACATTTTTTTTATCAAGTTTTGCATCATCTGTCATTCCTTTCATTCTCTCTCACCGTAGTCTAAACTTGATCAGGCTAATGATGACAATTTGTAGATTGTTATTGTTGTCACTTAGTCTATTTCATTTGCCACCTTTTGACCTTTTTACAGATGACAGGATAGTCATTCTGATCATTTTTTTTTGTAGTTGAACCAGTTGATTGTTGAAGAACTAGTAAACCACGGTTTACCAGCAGTTAGTTACTCAGTAAGTAACAATACCACTAATATTTTCAGCCTTTACCAGGTAATTCTTTACTATTGGTATAATATCAGCAATGCTCAAACCAGCATTCAAGAAAACTATTATCCATATGTAGGTATGTAGTATTATTCTGTTAAAGTTCAAATTGAGGTAAGAATACATCACTGCATGCTTTTTGCTTGGTGGTAATTGGTGCGCGCCACAACTTTTTTACTTGAAATGTAGTTGCTGCAATTAGAGTTATGTGACATAATCAGATTGGAAATTTTCAATACTTTAAAATATTGGACAATTGTGGTACCAGCCCCGATATTTTGCTGTCCATGATGGTGAAAATGAACACTGTTTTAGTCCACACAAGAGTACATACCTCTGGCTAAACAAACTGTTTGAAAAACTATGTGTGTTTATTTTTATTGTTCACCTAATATAATTTTGTTTTTACAGTGCATTGGAAGTTGGCAGACAGATAATAGAAAGGTTCTGAAATCGGATGTAGACTCAATATCCAGCCTAATTGAGGCAGGATTTATTCCAGTTATCAATGGAGACTGCATGCTTGATCGATCACTGGGATGTACCATACTAAGTGGGGATACAATAATTGAGGTGATTATATTTAGTGTCTTGTTTACTTTTTTCTGGTTAGTTTTAAAGTCTACAATACAGATTTTTTTTTGTGTATTTAGAGTGGTCTATTCATCGTTGTCATCATCAGAATCATCATCATAATCTTATATCATCATCATTCATCATCTTTATCATCATCGCAACCACCTTCATCACTGTCATCCATCATCTTCTTCATTATCATAATCAAGATATTATCACTTATCTCATGATCATACTCCTTAGCAGTGATAACCTAATGGAATTATTTATTTACTTGTGAAAAAGCTCAAGCCACAACTGTTATGGAAGTCACTGACAAAATTTTATCTTTTTGTCAATTTCAGGAACTTGCTGAGAAACTGAAACCAAAAAGAGTTATCTTTTTGACAGATGTTGCTGGAATCTTTGACAAATCCCCAGAAGAAAAAGGTGCAATTCTGCTTTCAAGAGTAATGGTATCTGCAAGTGGAGAGCTACAGACATCAATTGCAACATCAACTCTAACACATGATGTTACTGGTGGGGTTGCAAAGAAGCTCCAAACGGCCCAAGCTATTGTCACAAAGAGTATGGGGAGAACACCTGTAATTGTATGCAAATTGGATTCAAAAGATGCAGAGCTGGTTTGTTGCTGTGGAAACGAGGACTACATTGGCACTTTGATCTGTCTCTCACCAACATCTTGACAGCAAGCCTTTTTTGCCTGATGAAGATTGTGAATTATTAAGGTATTTATATGTGATTTATGAGAAAGATGGAGTAGAGCTGTAGGTTTCTTGTTTAACATGTCTGCTGCCCTCAACTAACCAGTTATTTTACAGTATATAAGATTTCATAAAAATTTTCATTTTTTATTGGGTGATTGATATGATTTGTCCCATACTGTGTACAAGTGATATATATCTGGTAAATTTGCAGATGCTGTGATGGTACGAGATAGAATGAAAAAACATATTATCTTTCTAAATTAACATACTCATAATTTTGAATTTCAAACAAAAGTGAATTTTTTTCACAAAAAATCTTTTGCTAGGGTTATTACCCTGTTTAGAGGAGAGCAGAAAAAAAAAAGATCAAGGCTAAAGATAAAATTATTAACGAATGAAAATGTGAGTGTGTTAGGTAAAGTACACTGCAGCCCACGAATTTCATGTCAGCAATCGGCAATTGCCGACCATATTGCCGAGCCAAAATTGCTACAGGATGGCAATTTTTTGCCGACCTAGGTCTAGATTTCTTTGCTTCAAAAACTGCTTGGAAAGTCAAAAACTTTTACTGAAACAGGCTATAGCAGACACTAAATTTCATGTACGTGGTCAAACCAAGGAAATTGGTGGTTCATAAAACAGATTTGTTTGTACAATAACTATTTTCTAATAGGCATGCAGTACGTACGATTTGTGTACAATCGTCTTGTCTTTCCCGCCTAGTCGTTTCATAGGCTAGGCCTAGGTAGGAATGACGCTAGCCAGCCAAGGCCTACAACATCACACAATTGAAGCCACGTGGGCCGCGTTGATTGTAATGCTTATCTAAATCTATTATTTGTCTTCATTTTACAGTATTATCATATTTAAAATGTTGTTTATTATCTAAAAACAACAAAATTCAACATATTGTAGGCCTAATCCTACCGTCCGTTTAAATGCAATCACGATCGCATCGTGACTTCTCTACTGACAAGTACTGTACATGTGTGGAAAATCCCTGATAGATCATTCTGGGCATACACATGGACATGCATGGGCAGTTTTGAAGCAGCCTGTGATGATACGATCGTAGCTTTTACGAAAGTGATATTTCCCATGCCAAAGGTAACGATAAAACAAAATTTATTCTGCGATTTTCTTATGTAAAACATATGTATTATACTACACTATTAAATTAATACAAGTACGACCATTCTTTCACCAGCAATATATTGATTTAATAGAGAAATGAACAAAATCACAATCTGTAGATCGTTCAGAAAAATCGTAGTTTATACTATATAGGCCTAGGTAGTAAAAATTGCAGAGGCTGCCGACCTCGGAGAATTTAAGTTCGGCAAATTTTTGCCGACCTAATTTTTTCCTAATTTCATCGGCTGACACTGATAATACATATACCGGTTTAATTGTGAGTAAGAAATCCTATTTCTTAGCAACTCTGGGCATGGTTTAAGTTCAATTTCAAGTTTGTTTTTACATTAAGAAGGTATACAGCAAAATTGGTTGTTGAATATGAATAAAAAAAAATTTTTTTTTAAATTTTTTTTTTGCGAAACAAAGTACTGTATATAGATAGTCTTGAATTGGAAAGTATTCCTATCTCACAGAGAATTCAGAACCTACCCAATTTCTTTTCAAATCATTCACATTTTACAGGATACCCACTTAAACCTCCGGTGAAGGGAAATGTGCAGACAAAGTGCCCTTTCCCAAGGAAACAAGCAGTACTCTACAGTCAAACACTGACTCAAAAATGTTTTGAGAAAGCCAAATTCTCTCCTACTGTGCTGCACACTTTCCATTCTGGACCCAGCATCTTTTTAATCTTTTGTTTCCTTATTCCAAATTATCCCAATTAGTTAACGAGAGACTTTTGCTTCTGTGATTTGGATTTTAAGTACAGCATTCTACGTTTCAGTATGTAATACATTATCTAACCATGGTCAAACCACACGCAATTAATAGTGTGGAGTACAATGTTAATGATACTATGTCCTCGGGCTGTTTTGCTAACCCTCTGCCAATCTGTGGTATTTGTTTAGAAGCCTGTTGGGTGTTATTTTACCTCAACTTCCTACTAGTCATATCTTTTGTTTGTTGGTTGTGTTAATGATCCTATTTGTCATGATTATTTCTCGGGGGGGGGGGGGGGGGTTCAAATGAAACAGCAATTATCCTCTTAAAAAAAACAAAGGCGGTGTGTAAGAACATAGAAGAATGGCTGCAGTTTATATCGTACATTAGAAAATAGAAGTTTTGTCAACCGTGTTTCTCAATATAAAGTCATTTTCAAATAGATCAGTACTGAAAGTTTCTGATGCAGTCTAATTGTGGGTAGGGGCAGTTTTGTGCAGTGGTTTTTATTGTAGTTTTTAAACTTTGGAATCAAGTTTACTAACCAATTACTGTCCATTTGTAGCTGACCATGCTTTGATACCCCAGGTTGCATTGTTGGCAGGCTGTAATGTTGTTCTGTTTCAGCTAAGTATTGTGTTTCTGAAGGCCTTGTTTTGCGTGTCTTATAAATTGGATATAAAAAGAAGTTCACAAATTATATATTTTTCATATTGAAATATGAAACATCTTGAAATCTGTAATCAACTGACAGTTAATGAGGGTTCATGACATGTTATCACAGTAACCAATCTGGCACCAGTGTTTCGAATGTACTGTATTTTGAAATCCCTGATTTTGAAGGCCATACAAAAGACAACATTAAGTTGTAATCATGGCTAGATACTTAATCTATGATGGTGTCACGTCTGTGTATACTTTTGGCTAATCTGCATTTAAAAGACCAACTAATGCAGCCAATATGACAATCACTGTACATTGTTTTCATTGAATTTCCAATTCTCTTTGGTAAGCGCGCAGGTAAGCCGGAATCAATAAGCACACATGTACATGTACAGTACAACACGTTCTTGTTTAACCACTCAGTGGCTAATAAATATTATTCTTTTTAAAAGATTCAATCTAAAAGCTGCAACAAAATGAGCATCCCTCAAAAATAATAGATCCCACTTTCTCTCAAAATTTGTACCCTGTATATGAATTTTTTACAACAATAATAATTTCAATTATTCTTTTTGAAGTTCATTATGCTAAGTGAAAATGAATGAACAAAACAATGTACAAACAATATTAAGTTATATTTGAGCTGGAAGTTAGTGGTTTAACTGCTTGCCTTCCAATCTTATGTTCCTAGGTTCAAATTTGGTAAAACTAGGAGTCCCACAATGGGGAAGCCACTTATGTGAGATATATTTTGCTGAGCTTTCTTAACACATCATATTGTAGTTTGCTGCCTGTGGTGATATTCATGGCCAGATAACTTTATCGAGACAATTGTACAGTAATAAAGTAGTGCACAAAACTAGGCCAACATTCTGAATTTGCAAGAGATTGTTTCTGGGAGACTTTTCTTGCTTGCAGTAGTGCAGGAGACTGTGTCTATTTTCAGGGGACTCTCAGCGACTTCAGGCATGGAACCTGTATGGTAAAACTTTTTACCTTACAACTCAAGCACCTCCGGTACCAAGCTTCATAATGGAATCAGAGTTTCTTCAAATAATGTTAATAGTGTGGGGTGTAGAGTACTTATACATAAAAACACAAAAAAATAAACATGATCGTATAATATTTTGTCAAGCAGCAAGTGCAGATTATGCATGAACATTTGACTGGTAGGTATAATATTTTGTAATGAACATCTTAACAGTGCAGTATCTTAAGTTGTGTTGGCAGATGGGATATGATACACTGAAGTATATAGTGTTTTGTATGTCTATAATACATGAATGGACCAAGACCAATTACTGTGTACAGAAATCGTTATTGAAAGGACAATACTTGACTTTCAGTAAAGCACTTTTCAAAAGAAAGAAAAAAATAATGCACTTTAAATAAATTGTAGGCATTACTCTCTCCTTGAATATAAAAATGTTCAGAAAATAGTTCTAATCACCTTACTTTAGATTCATGGTCACTGGGTTTACTTAACAAAGTTATTAACACTTGAAAACAACTTGGAGTTTCACAAGTTTGTGAATGAATGATCCATTCTTAGTGGGTGGCTATTTAGAAAACATCAAGTGTTTGCGTTTTAGCTTTAGAAATCTTTTCATTTATCAACATTGCTCCAAGTTCTGACATAAGTGGCATCCCATAGTATAGATTGTTGTTATATTAGTCTTTCTGCAACAACTGCATGGTTTTTCTGATAATTTCGGATGTGATTTCTATCATGCTCAGTGGTGGATTCAATGGAGGGCCAAGCCAAACCCCCATCTCCCAATTTAAAAAAATGTAGAGAAAAAGAAATTTATATTTGCATTTTAAGTCTGAGAGTACCATTTCTGGCCATCTAGAGGTGCCATATTTATAGATTTTCTTACCCGAGCCCAACCACGGTGGGCCTCTTACCTGAGCCCAAACATGGTGGGCCTCAGGTGGCATAGAATCGCCACCTGTAAGTCACCATTAGTCCATATTTAATGTGTTACTAACGCATGTGCCTTAAATATTTTAAGTTGAGCTGTAGCTTGCCTGATGCTTGCCTTCCAATCCCAGGGTTCTAGGTTAGAATTTTGACACTTCTAGGCTTTTTCTTCTGATGACTAATACAACCACAGTTAATAGTGAGAAATTCACTCTGTAATCTCCACTACTAATTTAAGCTGATATGCCCACAGAGTATACTACGGAGGCAATTAGAACTAAGATCTATCATTAATCCACCATTAATCTACTAATAAAATCAACAAATTAGTGGGTGCTTTGTAGGCAGTCTTAATCTCAATCCAAGGCCTGTCTATTTTTAAGCTCATACTAGCTATTATTTTACTATATAATTTTCCTAGGCTCATATTGTATAAGAAAATAGTTCTATACCTTTTTCCGTATCTTCTTGGCATATATTGCCATTGTCAATCAAATCTATGATTGGAGTTGACAGATTATTAATGTTATCCGCAACTGTTGCAAAACTCAACAGCTTGTTTAAATATTGGTATAATGTTGATTGGCACAAAGAATACAAATTTGTTTTCTTAGATTGATACAGCATTAGTACTATAGACACCCTTTTAGTGTTGATTCAGTAGATTTCAATACACTTCCTTTAAACTTAAAAGACACACCACAGACCTTTTGGAAGCTATTATTTAAATTGGTAAGGTCTTTCATTCCCTTATATACTTACTCTCTCCTGCATTCTGAGATGTAAGTTTATAATAACCTCAACTTTTCACAAAAATACAGGTCTTTTGGAGTAAATGAAAATTACCCATGTCAGTGTTGTGAAGTAGCTGTAGAAAAAAAGGTGGGTGGTTGATAAGTAATTGGTAAACTCTAAATATATAGTGGATTTTATGGATGGACAAGAGAGTTACAGTAATAAAGGTAGTTAAATGACCATGAAATTAGCTTTAGACTGGGTGGAAAATGTCAAGGCTGGGTGGCCCCCACCTACCTCTGCCCATCCCTGCAATGTTGTACCTTGATATAATCAGGGTGAAAGTAACAATAGAACATATTATATTAATTAAGGAGATTTTATTAAATAATATTGTTATAATATGACCCCAATATAAACATGATGAAAAATGTCAAGTTTTTCTGTGTATGCAGCATTTGTGTAGGTATATTTTTTTTTTATACTTTTCATCACATTGGTTTTTGTAATTACTGTATATATTGTATTAATTACTGTATATATTGTATGACCTACTCATTTACCATTTTGTGTAGTTATTTTTTGTAAAATTTAAATATTAACGATAATGAATTAAAAAAAATAACATACATTTTTAAACATCTTATAGTTTGTGATGTTTGTGGTGCAAACTTAAATATTATATTTATTTTTAATAGGCCTATAGGAGTTGATTTTAAGGAATGTCAACAAGAGTTAAGTACCCAACTGGAGATTAATAATAAAGTCTGCTAATTGTATGTACTGTGCATTGTTCACCTTTTAGCGAGATTGTTTGATCTTCCCGTTATGGATCAATTATTAATGGAAACTTTAAGCTGGATAACAGTACATTCCTCACCAACCGTTTACCAAGTAAAGTGTTGCTTATTCTAAGGTATTAGTTAATCAGTGTTTTATTGGTAGCTCAAGAATAACTGTCCTTCACATACTGTGCCGAGATCTTAGAAGTCTCCGCAACACATTGTATCTGTGTATACAGATCAATAGAGTATTGATCCGAATATCAGCCTAGAGTACCTATCACAAAGTAATTAATGAGAAGTCTTCTGACATGATCACACAGATTCAGATATCTAAGACAGGAAGAACTTGCTGAAACTGCAGGCGTAAAGAGAGAAGAATTTCTTAATGTCGTGAAGTCTTCATAGTATAGGTGGAAAAGACAAGGGAATTAGCTTTTACTTATAATGTAAAATGAAGGTCTTGCTACCAGTAATTAAGAAGGGAACTTATCATATACTAGAAAAAAAAAGCTCATCACTGATTTACCAGAGAGCTTCTTCCTCAGCTGTTGTTAACATGCTTGCAACCAGCCAGTGATTTACCAGAGAGAACTATTGCTCAAACTACCATTGTTAAACCAGAATTAACTTTCTTGCTCAATTACTAGTGATTTTCCAGAAAGAGTTTTTGCTGTAACTACCACTGTTTACCAGAGAGAGAATATTGCTGTTCGGGTGAGTCTGATTTTCCAAAGGAATATGCTCAACTACTAGTGATAAACCAGAATGATACTAATTTGCCAATAGTTTTGCCAGAGAACTTGCTAAACTACACATGATCTCCAGAGAAAATTTGCTCATCTACTAAATTAACCCATACGAACTTGGTCAGCAATTAGTTAATTAATAGATAAACATTTCTCAACTATAGGTTCTTATTCAGAAAGATCATTTTCATCCTAGTAACTGATACAAGAGTTGGGATAGCAGAGAGAACTTGCTTCTAGGAATCATTTGCGGGAGGTAGGCCGACTAGTTGTATACTTTAGTTACAAACAGCCAGGTAGTGTTACCAAGCAGGGTTTGCTGTAGTAATTGATATAGAATTAGTTGAAGTATCAAAGACTGGGTTTGCCATTGATCTACAAAGAGCTATGAAACATGTGGTTTCAGTATAGTATGCCGCTGTCTATGTATACAATACAATACAGACAATAGATCTCATTGTAGTATTAATAACTTGTTATGTGTACCAAGGAAATGCCAAGTTAAGCTGACTTACCAAGATACGATCAGATATTGATCTACAAATCTCAAATTATCTTTCTGTTATCTTTCTTTTTTTATATTATACAAAGTATGTTTAGAAATATTCCACAGATGAAACCAACCATGAATTTCAATCTGAAGAAGGAAACTTTTCATTGTTAGTACTAAGTCTGTGCTGGTAAAAACCATTGCCAACTTGGTGTCATACTTTAAGAGTACTCTGAAGCTTGTTAGGGCTTGGTTTCGTAAATATTTAAAAAATACTATTAAAGTAAATCAAGAAACAAAATGAAATGGTGAAAAAAAGGAATTTTAAAGATAACATTCTTTGGCAACAATTCACAGACAACAAAAAATGTATAAAACAATTGCTTTGAATTTCCAATTTAAGTGAAACAAAATTGCATACTTTTCTAAACCTGAACAGTTTTGCTGACTACATCAGCATTATTTGTATGAATTTTTTTTTTAAAGCGCAAGGAATTTTTCAGTATGAAGAAAAAAGTAAGCAATTTTGGTTTTATTAAGGAAATGCAAATCAATAACCTCATGAAAACCGATAGGTTTTTCAATAATGTTTAAATATTTTCTTAATTCTGGTTTTCATATTATTTATTCATGCCACTGTGGATAGCTGAGTCTCAGGGGTTTTTTTTAATGTAAAAATATAGCATTATGTACTAATACTATGTCTATAGGTAAGAGATGTACAATCACATTTCCAGAAGTCTAGATTTTCAAAAGTAGAAAAAAATCCAGTGGATAGGTCCACTGATAGGTTTGAGAAACTATATGTATAAAAGATAAGGACAGATGAGTAATTTTTATTCAGTATTTCGATCTTTATGTATATCATCAGGAAACATGATGATGATGATGATGATGATCTAAACAAAGATCAAAATAATAAATCATAGTGGCCTGTCTGCCCTTATTTGAAGCATATTTTATACCTCCGAGTTAAATAAAAAAATTATTTTTAAATCTATATCAACAAGGTAAAAGTTGTGTCTGTATTTATATAGTGCATAATCATTTTCGACTCTGCAAATGCTGTAGGGGTTTCATGACTCCTCCCACTCAATGAGCCCATTTATATTGGCAGCATATGAGTGGAGATAATCAAACATTGCCCAAGGACACAAACAAAATGCACTGCAAAGGTTTTGGACCTCCAGTCTGCACTGTGACAAACTCCCGCTAATGTCAGTTTGGTTTGGTTTCAATCATTACAATGTTTGCTCAGATTAGTACTAATTTCCATCGTCATTATGCCTCTGATTAAGAAAATATTTATCACAGCCTGTGATTTTCTATTATCTGATGTAATCATTTTGCTCAATTATTAACACAATACTTTATTATCTATTTCTAAGCGACGCTTTAGTATTGTCGACTTTAGGTCTGCTTGTGAGATATTGTATGAGACAAGGTGATTGGCAGAGGCTGTGAATTGGAAAACTTTTTTTCTAATTGTGTATCTGTTCGTCCTTTATCTATTTGTTACTGGTCTCTAGACTGATCTTTGAGAGTTTCCACGCTTGACGTTCTCCATTATGAACTTGGACTGCAGTGGGTAAAACCAATAACCTCAATAATTTGTTTTTACTAATTTCAATATTCCAAATTCCTTTTCTCTGAATCAGGAATATAAATATAATGTATGAAATATTCTGAGTTTTGATAGGTTTCGTTTCCTGGTTTATTCAGTAGTTCTGGAGGTTGTGGAGCAATGTTCCAGTAAGGCTTGTCTACCCATTTAATTACTGTAGTTGAGAGCTAGGGCTGAAAACTTCCTTATGTTCTTCAACTTGAAGGCCTTCTGTATATTGCTCTTCACCATCAAGACGTTTATAATTTGTAGGGATATTGCATTAGTCTCTGCCTAGATTTTATTCCACACGGCTGCCGATACTTCCAACAGATTTGAGGGGGTTTGTGCTTTGATTGGAGGTCTGGCCATTTTCGGCTGGTGGATTTCTAGCCAACTGGTCAAACTCAGCTGAGGTCCAGGAGGCTTTTCCTGGTGCCCATAGAAAAGGGAACTTCAGCCTCCCTTTTCTTTGCTGACACTGCCATTGCCTAAGAAATGTTTTACACTAATTTTTGACAGCATTAACTAACTATAAGGTGTGATTATATCTAACTGTGTTACCTGCCATGTTAATTTTACCTTTCAGTAACACTGATTCTGAAGATGTTTGGTAATTAATGGATTAAGCCTTTTTGGACCATTGTATGTGATCAAGCTGTAGTGCAACATTTTTCAAGTACTTTCAGATTAGCACAGGTTTTGCATTCCCAACCAAACCTGCCCCCACAGGCTATTGACTAGGTGGCCGCAAGGGTTTTTTTTTTTTCCAGTGGGTGCACTATGCTTAGGGCTCATGGTATATAAACACCCAGTTTAGCAAATAAACAAAACGTAGCAACAGGTTGTTTTTTTAAAATGCACTTTACTAAATGTGTTGTTTGTTCAATGTACAATTACATTGCACATTTTGCAGAATGCACTGTACTAAAATTATTCCAAAAATTCATTTTTCTTTAATTTGTTGATAGAAATCAAATGATTTGAAAGAAATATAATTGAGTTTGGATAGTGAAGCAGACACCTTTAACGTATGGAATGTTTCACCCTAAAATTGCTTAATAAAACTCTTTTGTCGTGTCATTTGGTGTTGAATAGGGTTTTCACACACCTGAAGAGAAGACAAAATACAGGTAAAATAATTCCATTCTCTCCCAAACAAGAACTCGCAATAATTAATCAAGTCGTCTGTGTACAATCATGCAAGAACTTAGATTAGATTACAATGACTGGAATGTTGGAGTTCTTGTTTCATTCTTTCAACTTGGATTCAACGTATTGTTTGGCCAGCTAAATAGGGATGATTGCAGTATTAATGGTGATTTTTGTTGGCCAATTTACTTGGTGTTTTGTTGTTGTTTTGTTGTTGGAATAAGTCATGTAGAAGTGTTGAATATTTGTACTGTAAGATAAATAACTCCATTATATACTGTTGTAGGAAGCATAATAATCAAGACCTGTTAAATTTGTATGGCCAACTGCTACAAATTGTTCTTTTGTGTAGAACACTTTGATTT